CGATAGGAATTATGTCAATGTCATTGGAAGACAATACCATTAAGCATACCGGCGCTGTAAATTAATCATTTAGATCAGTATGTAAGAAACAGAATATTTCTTATATAGTCTCCACTATGACGTGGAACAATTAGTGTTATGTATTGTAGAGCTTTGTGTCAAAAAATGACTTCACTACTTCACATAAAGTGTACTTGCCTTTAAACATAGGGCAGTCCATCAACATTGTTTTAGGCAGGCACGACTGCTGATGAGAGAATGATTGTCAAAACCCTTTCAGACGTTTGCTTGTATCGAACCAATTTTATTGCAAAGATGCGCCACCAAACAGCCATGTAGCCAATAGGACGTGCCAAAATAGTATTGTTTTGGATGTAGAGAGATGAATACGGGAAGGAGACATTATTTCTGCGATTTATATTATCACAATCAGTTGTATGCTTGGAAATTGGCTGGAGAAATTACAAGCCGAATTTGTTTGTTAAAGCCCCATGTGATTTGGCTTAGATGATACACAATGCCTGCTGGTAATCCTATAATCACCAGGTGGAATGCTTTCAGTGGAGGACCTAACCCCTAGCACCAACAAATCATGGTGGCACTGAGTTTTGTAAATATGCTCCGTGCATCTATAATTATAATTGAAATGTCAGTTTTCATGACACCCACACCAACCGTTTTCTCGCAAACAGCAATGGTGAGGAACGTATGACCCTGAGGCCGTATCCGGCCCCTAAATGCATGTCATGCGGCCCACGGTCACATAACGCCCACTAAGTAAAAACATCACACAAACGTTATTTATCCATGACTGCAAGCATCTTATCCGCACTAATTTGGTACTGGAGAGGGAATATTTTCGACGTGGCAACACTGCGTTTATAACTTCAGCGCACAGCGTCTGAGGCATATTTCTACTCTGTCAACATGCACACTATTGTTGTTAATATCGAATGATGCTGAGGTATGTTAATGAGGGACCCACCAAAGGTATTACTTCAAAGCGTCCCCACTCTTGCTCTACAGTTACACATTGTCATTACCCGGCACGTAATGAATGAGTGTTTCTTATTATGTTCATGATATATGCTTTAAGCCCTGTGTGAAATCAATCAAAAATCAATCGTATAGTTATTTAAAAACAGGCGAGGGGACATTGAGACCTACGTTAGTATATTTTAAGGGAGACATATATGACATGTAACAAACACCAGAGTCAAAATATTAAGCAAAACAGAAATCCTCAAGTCAATAAGTGAGTATCTACAGTGTATGCCAATCTTACCTTTAAAATATCGTAACAAGTACTGTGTGTACTGTACATAATATTAAAACAATATCCAATCTTGAATAAAATCATGACAATTCATAGAATCGTATGGGGTGGGGAGGAGTGAATGCTAAAATGCCTCATCACTATGAACATCTTCAGAATCTCAAAGTTTTGAGAGATTAATTTGAGCATATTGGCCTTAACGAGTATCCAAAGTCCACCGATGGAGCCAAGATCTGTAATGCATTTGTTGCAAAGCACAAATTTAGTAACCTAACAACTCTAAATGTGGCCCTGATATCAGCATGCAGGGGCCAACAGGTCTGTAGACAATGTTACTCCCTCTGATGCAAGTTGTCACCCCACACACTTGTTTCATCATAACGTTGATGCAAAGCATTGTTCCAGGGCTGGGACTTCATTTGAACATGGTCAAGTTCAAGTTCATGTATTAGGTATAGCCCTGTGAGCCATTCGGCTCTTGAATCGGGTGCAACCGCAACAAACAAAAAACAAAAACATGAACAAGAAAACATCTTAAAGTGACTATGTGACTGAGTGCAAACAGAAAATTTAAGAAAAGACAGCAAAATATTGCAGAAAAAGCACCGTACACCAACACTGTGTGCAAAAATCCCAAATGGGATGCAAGTCAAACAACAACAACCACAAGACAACTTAGATTAAGGCCATCAGTCTAACTCTGTACTACAAACAAACATGGCCAAACCTAAAAACTTTTCGAAAATCACCAAAATAAAGCCATAAAAGCAATGAAACAGTGATCATAGGAACCGTGACCGAATTTTCACAATAAACGACGTAAACAACATGTACTACCAAACTCTGCAGCCATAGCTGGCTGCATGAGTCACTCCACAACAGCAGGAGCATCAGTCGGAGTGTCACATGGACCCAAGTGGACAGACATCCTAACTTGCTTTTCCCGGCAGAAGGGAAGTTGCTGTATGCATAGCATTAACCTGAAAACATGTGCTTAAGGGCAAGGCCAGCTTGATCATGCCTAACATACACAATGATGATGCATCAGCAAAGCATGACCACCCCCACCCACCTGCTTAAAAAGTCTTAAGTCTCAGTTGAGTTCTTCTGGGTAAACGAAGTCATGTTATTTTTGTTCTGAAATCAGTCTATTTAATAATATTGGATGAAGTCTTAGTATTTGCTTAAGAATCTGGGTAAAATACACAGAGCCCCACAGAGATGTCCAAACCAAGGCGCTAATAAAACAAAACTACAGGAATCACATAGCTTTTCAATCACAATCCGTCAATGACAGGATTTAGAAGGTACAAATCAGATGTGAACAAAGGCGGGAGTGCCAGGATGTTGGCGAGCTTACTGATCAAGACAAATTGTCAAGAAGGCTCAGATTCAAATCGTTAAGCTTACAGGGGGCAAAAACAATGTACCCCACAGGTCACCACTGAAGTGTGACAACCGAAACAATTGACAAAAGCTCTGTTTTTCATAAACACAGTAGGGGTGTGGTTTGGACCAAACAGAAAACCCCCATGATCCGGATGTCCAGGTCGATTAAGATTTTAGAAGGAGAAAAACATAATCGTAAAACATACAATTCATTCAGAACAGTGAGCGATAATTAAAAATACTGTCCAAACATATTACAATCGTCTCATAATAAAACTGTACTGTTAACAGTGCATTAACAATGCATACAAGGAAACCACACGTTCTAATTTAGCGTCGCCCATGTTTACTGGCAGTCCAACGGAAAGTGGTCGAAATTCCACGTTATTATGGCAGAAGCAGTCTACGCATATAACCAATGTTGGCCTAGCGGTGCCGCCTAACCGGGCGGTGCTCCTTTGATCAACACATAAGTAATGTCTTCTTGGTTCTTTCGGTAAAGTCACGTAGAAGGGAGGTAATAAAATAATAAAAATAAAACATAATTAAATAATTCTCACGACGTTTCGGCCACAACGCAAGCAGCCGTCCTCAGGTGAAGACCAGGTCTGTCGTGAGAATTATTTTATTGTTTTATGTTTATTATTTTATTACCTCCCTTCTATGTGACTTTACTGAAAGAACCAAGAAGATGAATCCCTGCAGTCACGAAAGCTTTAAATCGAAACATAAGTAATGATCACGATGGAACTAAGTTAGAAGTGATTATGGCGATGGTCATGGGTCACACTGATGATATTATACTAATGACAGAGCTAAGGCAGCGTTGATAGTGATGAAGATGGTGCAGTGTCATCATTGATGACGGCTAGGTTAGCACAATATTATGGTACCGATGCTAGTGATTATGAGGACTGATGAGTGAAACTTGATTGTTATGTGGCTGATTCAATCTTGATGATGAAGAGGAGTTAAATTGGATGTGTGACGATTACGAATGAGTGGTGATGAGACATGTTGTTGTTGCTGTTACTGCAGCAGGTGATCGAGCAAGAGACAACTAAAGCAGACTTGAAGTCAGCACGGTTGCAGTCTAAACTATAAAAATACTAACATCGCTAAGACTACAACTACTCAGACTCTCCTAAAACCACTAACATCAGTAATAAAAACACAAGACCATAACTACTAACACAACACCATTGCACGAAGACACCAAACATTAACATACTATCAACTGTAAACACGTTAACGTCGCTAAATCGTGACGAACGATGAAAAGCACTTACATCGACACACAGAAACACCAAAACCACCGGCAAAAACGTCAACACATTAACACTAATTAAATAATACGTGTAATATTATCACAGGAACACATTATGTTCTGATACTGCGTTGGCAGTGGTGCACAAATACACAAATAATTTAACACGTTCGTCTATAATACTGTGACCTTAAAATAAACCTAATAGCCGACGTTTCAGGCAATAGCTCTTCTTCAGAAAACAAAGATAGGCCAGAGCAATAGAATAGTTAGAGACTGCATTATACACCTCGGAGTCTGATAAGAATTCCTTTAAAATGTATTCCTGATTAACCGTTTTAAATTGGAATATGAAGTTACCTATTAATAGCTATTGAGTAATAGACTAAAAGACTAAAAAAACATGAATTACAACGTAAAATGATTTGTATTAAAATTAAAATCATACACTTGCTAGAACACTGCATTATAGAAAAGTGTAGTACTCTACCACTAACTCATAGCAACACTGATCAACACCACCACCATTAACACACTACGGGCAACACCAATATACACTAGCCTGCAACAGACTGTTAGCGAGCACCTATTAAGGCGGGCAACGGCACACGAGGGGGTGGGTGGCCAGCACCAAGCCAGGCCGCCTTTGTCTCCCTAGTGGCTGAGTAGACCTAGGGGAGACCCAAGACCGCTTCAGATGATCGTCGCTGTTGACCGTGAACCGGGATCGAACTTGGGTCGCCGGGTTCGTAGCGCAGCGCGATAACCGCTACACTACCACTCCCCCCTTACCAACAACAACACCACCACCACCAACAACTACTACCACCAACTACAACCACCGCTAACACCAAATCCCCTGTGGCTTGTTTACACTTCTTTGATTGATAATTTTATAATTCGTAGTCAGACGACACCTCGGGCCTACGGCCGCAGGCTTCTCCCAGGCGACGAGTCCAGCCGCAGCGGAAGCGGTGAAATCAGAACGCGTCTTCCCCAACCGAGCGACCAAACGACACCACAACCACCACCACCAGCCACAACATCCCAAGGAGAGGATAAACTGACCGTACGACTCAGACATCGCTGCTGACACGGTGCTGCCCCGCTTGTCTCTTGCCTGACGCCTCTTGCTACCGCTACTGCTCCTCACTCGGCGCTGATGGCGGACGCTCGGGTCACGTGATCGGGGGTAACCGTTGGGGGGGGGGGGCGGGGGGGGTAGTGACGTAGGAGATAAAGGCGCAGCCCTGAAATTGCCACCTGCTGACGGCAATAGCTGTAGGTGGTAACTGCCACCTCATCCAAGACGTCTGGCCGGCATGGAAGAGTAGACCAAATACTTTCTAGGTTGGGGGCGGGGGAGGGGAGGTAGTGACTTAGGAGATAAAGGTGCAGCCCTGAAATTGCCACCTGCTGATGGCAGTAGCTGTGGGTGGTAACTACCACCTCATCCAAGACGTCTGACCGGCATGGAAGAGTAGACCAAATACCCTCTAGATTTGGGGGTGAGGGGGGGGGGGTTAGTGACGTAGGAGATAAAGGTGCAGCCCTGAAATTTCCACCTGCTGACGGTAGTAGCTGTGGGTGGCCACAACCACCTCATTCAAGACGTCTGGCCGGCATGGAAGAGTAGACCAAATACCCTCTAGATGTGGGGGGGAGGTAGTGACGTCGGAGATAAAGGTGCAGCCCTGAAATTGCCACCTGCTGACGGCAGTAGCCGCGGGTGGTAACTGCCAAGACGTCTGACCGGTATGGAGGAGTAGACCAAATACCCTCTAGATGTGGGAGGTAGTGACGTAGGAGATAAAGGTGCAGCCCTGAAATTGCCACCTGCTCACGCCAGTAGCTGTGGGTGGTCAGTAACTCCCACGTTGTAACCAGAAGGCTGAGGTTGATGCATGGAGCCCTCCCTCCACCGCGTTGCCCGCTACTCGAGTGGCAGCCAGAGGCGGCGTCGAGCCCGAGAGACGGAGCGATGAGATCGGTTCGCTTGCAGGTGCCGGGTGGATCATTGCAGCGTGAGGTGTTGGCGATGACCTGGGGAGGGCTTCATTCAACGGTGCATTGATCAGAGCTGTTGCTGCTGGCACTGCTGCTTGCTTTGTGTCCATCAATTGGGTTACTCATAATCAAGAGTTGGGTTATTTTGGGGGGGGGGGGGGGCGGGGGGGGTAGGTTATATCGTGTCCACGTAAATGTGTCGTTATATTTACGCGATCTAAGCCCACCTCCCCAAAAAAAGCCTTTGCCCGTCCAAGGACGGGTGTATTGCAGTAAATCTGAAACTTGCAAGCGAAAATCAGACCGCGACGTGATATATTCATTGCATCAATTCGTGTGCAATTTGTAAGGGCGCGGTGACACAGACCTATTTCCTTTAAAGGTTATAATCCCTTGTTCATCATGACGTCCTTTTTACTTTGATGCCTCAACAGCGTGACGGAAACCACGTGACGTCAGGGTTCTGCATTTGTAGTGAGGGTTGTGAGTTGACGCCGAGGGGGGGAGGAGGAGGCGCCTCGCCCCCCCATGTGGAGTGACGTCACCCGCTAATTATTATGAATGGAGGGGGGGTCCATGTGGAGGACGTCACCTGCTCATGATTATTAATAAGGGGGGCTGTTCTATGTGGAGTGACGGCACATGCTCATGATTATTAATGAGGGGGGGGGTGTCCATGTGGAGGACGTCACCTGCTCATAATTATTAATGAGGGGGGGCTGGTCGACGTGGATTGACGTCACTCGCGGGACACACAGACATCCTTGGCTCATTATATTAGGACATATTGGTGTTTGCGAACGCGCCTGCGTGTGTTGTAGGAGTCGGGATCCCACAAACCCGCACCGCTCTCGCCAAGGCACTGGGTCACTAACACGCCGTGTTCATCACAGTCCTATAGACATACTAAAGTTTGACTTAAAAGACCGCTTGTGTTGCGATCGAAACGTCGTGGCTTTTTAATTTTATTTTAAAAATGTATTTTATTATTTGTATTTTTTATTTTCTATCTACGTGATTTTACCCAAAGAACCAAGAATATACCAGTATAGACATACGTTTCAAACAAGGCACACGAATCTAGTGTTCCTCATTGGCAAGGCCCCACGGAACGCTGGCGGCCCCCAGGTGGTCTTTAGTGCGGCCCCCTGACAATACACAACAACGCGTGAGGACATCACCGCGCTGCTGCGGTCAGACCCCCAACTGGTGTCAAATGTGTGGCGGCCCTCACACTGAAGTCTTATCGACGAACGTAGCTCCCCCCACCCTCCCCCCCTCTGAAAATTAGTGAAACACATCCCTGCGGAGGGAGCTGTTAGGAACGTTGGGTTACTCGGTCAATGGCCAGGGTCAACGGCGGCGTGGTGTATTCCGCAAATATGCCCGACTGTGAGGGCGTGCACAAGCCGGCGTGAGTAGGTTAAACGTTGAGTTTTATAAGGGCACCACGGGTTGACCAGCCCCTCCCCACCCAGCCCCCCCCCCCCAACCAGCCCCACCCAGCCCCTCCCCACCCTCCCCTCTCCACCCAGCCCCTCCCCACCCTCCCCTCTCCACCCAACCCCACCCCTCCGATTTTTGGATGCACGACGGACGGACGGACACAATAATCCCCTGTGGGCTGGTGTAACCAGGAGGTTCCTACCAGTATTGACACCGCTCTAATCTATAACCAGCCCACGAGAGGGCTTCAGGAGAGAGAGAGTTCATGTGGTTTTGCTTTTCTTGCGTTGAAGAAGCGCCAGATGATGGGGAGAGAGCGCGTGCTGTCTGAAACTCGTTGTTTTACAGGCGGCACTATTATTATTCTGCCGCGATGGGGACTTTTCTTGGGTCACTTGTTTTCTTTTTACATAGACGTGACTAAACACAACAACCGCCATTCGCCACGAAGTGTCGGTGACGTCACCACGACGCTTGTGCCAGGCCATGTGCACCTTGAGGCTACCACGTGAAGTGTCGAACGCCCGCTGGCAGGAGGTCACGGAGCAGACCCAGCAGGTACCACGGGTCGACTGACTGAGATGACCGAGATGACTGGCTGATGCACCACCTGTGCCTCCTCCTACTGTGCCAACTTGCTGTGCTTTATCCACCCGGCGCTCCGCTCGTTGTTGTGAGCGTCACACAGGCGCGCACATACACACACATACACACCCCGACACGAGGGTTGTAACCAGAAGGTCGGGTTTATTTGCAGAACCCTACACCGCGTTCTGTCGCAGCCCCGCGCTCGACAACTTGAACATTTCGGGTCCTCTGTTATAACAGTTACCGGCAGCCCTTGGTGATGCATCTCGGCCACATTGAACAATTAAACACGCTCTTGGACTCAGCGTGGAAAACTCATATACCCGACCACACAACGATGGGGTCAAGCATAGGTATCTCGTCGCATATAGCGTGGACTGCTGCTTATATTATTAATTTTTTACATAGCACCTGCAGCTCAACAGCATTGAGTCTGTAGATGTGACGCGTGTGCGTTGTGGGTGTGTGGTACAGCACAGCGCAGCGCGCATGTATAAGTCGTTGTTGACGATGTCCCCAAAGAGTGATGACACTGATCGTGATGATTAATAATTATTTTATTGTCATCAACGTCGTCGTAGTTATCAGTTCACCTGAAGTTTTCGCTTGATTCGTTTTTTTCCTCCACGCGTGGATACGTTACGATGTTGTCTAGAGATTGATGTTTTTAATCTCTGTTGCTGTTTTTTTATGCTTTCTATGTCGTTTTAAACGATGTTGTTTTGACACCGCAACCTTTACTGCAATGGGGAGGAGCAGGCGTGGTGGCGGCCGTGTAGGTGACGATGCCGATGAGTCTGACACGTGGCTCTCATCGGCAACGAATACACATAGCTCAGATATCAGATATCTCTGTGTGCCAATGTGTGTGTGTACATCGTGTAAAATATCTCTCTCCGCGTACATACATACAGCTGCCTCCAAGTTAAGAGGTGTATTTATGTGTGTGTATACATCTATGAAAGCACCTGTATTCAGATTTCTACGTATACACAAGATATACTATTTATGCATATGGGAAGATGTCTTTCCCAAGATCTCTTTGTGCTATAGTACATTATAATTTAGGGAAAGGTGTCTCTCCCTGGAATCACATAATTGAAACACTACACGCACACATATGTATGCTGAGAGGTATATATTACAAAGGTCCCTATGCATATATTATATATGGGCAGATGTACATAAGTACACCACCATTCTGTATATCACACACATAATATATGTGTGTGTAGTGTATAACGTATGACACACACATAAATGCACGTGGAGAAGCAATGGATGAGTGAATGCATGCACGCATGCACGTACAGCGGCGAGAGAACGCGCACACACACACGGATGAGAGGAACGCACACGGCTAGCCGCCTGCAACCCCCAAGGAGCAAAGGTCTGGGTTCGATTCCTTTAGAAGCACTTGCGATGGACGATGGATGGACCCGCCTCGTCGTACTCCTGCTTGGTGATCCACATCTGCTGGAAGGTGGACAGCGACGCCAGGATGGAGCCTCCGATCCAGACGGAGTACTTGCGCTCGGGAGGAGCGATGATCTGAGGTTTCGGGGGAAGAGGCGCACGATGGGAGAGAGAGGTGAGTCGCGATCAGATCGGGGCTTGGGGTGGAGGCTGGGGGAGTGCACGGGGTGGACGGGAGCAACGCAGGGACACGGGGAGAAGAGAGATACGGCACGCAGAACGGGGGAGAGGAGACACGGGACATGAGGAAACGGAGAGACGGGGAGGCTAAGAAAGAGGAAGGTGAGAAAGGAGGGGGTGGTTGGTGGTGGGAGGGATAGAGGAACAAGGAAACGCCGGGACATGGGGACACGGGGAGAAGAGAGATACGGCACACAGAGTTGGGGAGAGGAGACACGGGACATGACGATACGAGGACAGGGGTGGGGGGGGGGGGACACGGTGCTCGAGGAGGTAAGAGGTTAAGAAATTCCGGCACAGGGAGACAGAGCGCGATGTGTGGATACAGAGGGATGCGAGGAAATGTCAATCAATGTTAATTACAATGGCACTCTACAGCTTTTGTATGAATCAACTGCTGGATGAAGCCACCGATGGCGACTGAGTGGGGGTACGAAATGTTGTAGTAGCGTCGCCGGTGGTGAATGTCAGCCGGAAGTGTCACCGAGACGCTGTTACGCAAATTGTTATCAGGCCACATCCATATTGCCCCGGGTCGCTTATAAGTTAGACTCATCCCGATCTCTTGAGCTCTCACCTGGTTCACCAAAACTTCACACTACTAGATTACAAACCGCCTTTATTTCGTATTAAATGTTCAGTTCGTGTTCCTGCGACACTGCTCATCTCTCACCTTGATCTTCATGGTGCTGGGCGCCAGGGCGGTGATCTCCTTCTGCATGCGGTCAGCGATACCCGGGTACATGGTGGTGCCACCGGACAGCACGTTGTTGGCGTACAGGTCCTTGCGGATGTCGATGTCGCACTTCATGATGGAGTTGTAGGTGGTCTCATGGATACCCGCGGACTCCATGCCTGTGTGTGCGTGAGATTGCGTTGTGTGTGTGTGTGTGCGCGAGCATACGATTAACAATCACGACCACCAATAACGCAGCAAAACCTGCCACCTACCTACACGATCACCACTGTGTGTGTGTTGGCTATGGGGGGCGGTCGACTAGCGGTTAACTCATGGCAAACAACAGCAGAGATTAATGATCTGAACCAGTCCAAGGCCACCCCTAGGACGAATCAGCCTCAGGTGAGTGCCTGATACGATCTATAAATGTCGCTACTAGGGAGACAAAGCCGGCCGGGCGTGATGTTGACCACCCATCGTTTCGTGTCGGCTTTCATAGGTGCTCGCTAACAGCACTTGCCCTAAGAGCCTGTTCAGGCTATACGGGTTTTTTGTTTTTGTATACGTCTGTGTGCGGAGAGCAGTGGCACAGTGGATAGCGCACTGCAATACGAAACGGGCCGCCTGATATCCATCCTATAGCCAATAGTTTGAGTTTATTTTGATTTGTTACATGGATGATGGTCCCGTTTCGCCAGTAACCCGGCTGTTTCCACGGGAGATCCGTGGTGCTGCGTGAGCACAACATTGATATCCATAACTGATGATCAATGATAATGGCGATTGCAAAGTAATTAATTGATCGTGATCATGAAGAATCCACAATTGGTGACACATTTTGTTTCGGTCATGATGGACATTTAATCTATGCTGATGTATACCAAATACTTAATGACCACGATGATGAACGGGTGATTGACTCAATGAAAAAAACAGCAGGTCACTGACTAATGAACGAGGGTTTACAACGAAGAACGAACGAACGAGCGAGCGAGTATGTGGCCACTGACCGATGAATGAGGGCTGGAAGAGCGTCTCCGGGCAGCGGAAGCGCTCGTTGCCGATGGTGATGACCTGCCCGTCGGGAAGCTCGTAGCTCTTCTCCAGGGAAGAGGAGGTGGCGGCGGTCGCCATCTCGTTCTCGAAGTCCAGGGCCACGTAGCACAGCTTCTCCTTGATGTCACGCACGATCTCACGCTCGGCTGCGGGGGAGGAACAGGGACGGCGGCGGTGGTGGTAATGATGATGGTGATGGTGGTAAAAATGATAGTGGTGGTGGTGGTGGCAATGATTATAGTGATGGTAATGATGATCATTGCAGTGGTGGTGATTATGATGATCGTAGTGGCGGTGGTGAGAGTGAAACAGGGGTGTCAAGGATTTACATCAAGACGGACGAACATAAATACATAAAGTCGGACGCGCAGACAGACACTGCCTCGCACGTGCGGTTTCAGACAAACGTACAAAGACACCGACAGACGCGTGTAGACACACACGCGTGCGTGCGTATACGCACAGACACGCAGACACAGACGCAGACACAGGCAGATGCACCGATTCATCAACGCAGATACACAGGGATACGCGCACGTGTATACACGGAAACACACTAATGAGTGATGGTGATGCTTATTGGATTAATAATAATGATGTGTCTTCATCTTATAATTATAGTCGCGATGATATACTGTATATTGAACTACTGCGTATGTCCATGAAGACGAGGATAATGATATCATCTCAGCCAATGATGACGATGTTTTACCCCAACGACAGTGAAATCTATTGAAACGATGATGATAATAATGACGATGTTCATCAAATTAACGATTATGTAATTTAATCCAGTGATGATCACGACGACGACGACGACGACGACGATGACGATGAGGATCTCACCGGTGGTAACGAAAGAGTATCCGCGCTCAGTCAGGATCTTCATCAGGTAGTCGGTGAGGTCGCGACCGGCCAGGTCAAGGCGCATGATGGCGTGGGGCAGCGCGTAACCCTCGTAGATCGGCACGTTGTGGGTTACACCGTCACCGGAGTCCAGCACGATACCTGCGCACAGGTGACAAGCGACCCGTCAGCACCGCACAAGTCCGCCACCCTGCTGCTTCTTACGAACACCTGATGATGATGATGATAGTGCTAGTTGTAATCTCCAGCGAAACGTCGTACGCAATTGTCTAAATCGTGCTCGCTTTTGAACCCCGCTCCGTCGCTTTTTCTGATAAAGCAAATCAATTGACACATTTGCCCCCCCCCCCCTGCCCCCCCCCCCCCCCCGTGACAACGCGAATCGATTGGCCCTGCCGGGCGGTGGAGAGTTATAGGAAACAACTCGACATTGTACCCACACGACGATCTGACCCAAAATAAACTAGTTTCGAATCATAATATCGGTGGCGAAAGCCTCGGTACCGTGCAAACGCATAGACGAGAATTTTGAAGCAATTTTAAGCATTGGCGTCAACAAGATGAGTGAAGCGTCGTCTCACCGGTGGTACGGCCGGACGCGTACAGGGACAGCACGGCCTGGATAGCCACGTACATGGCGGGCACGTTGAAGGTCTCAAACATGATCTGGGTCATCTTTTCACGATTGGCTTTGGGGTTGAGGGGGGCCTCTGTGAGCAGGGTGGGGTGCTCCTCGGGGGCCACGCGCAGCTCGTTGTAGAAGGTGTGGTGCCAGATCTTCTCCATGTCGTCCCAGTTGGTGATGATGCCGTGCTCGATGGGGTACTTGAGGGTGAGGATACCACGCTTGCTCTGCGCCTCGTCACCCACGTACGAGTCCTTCTGACCCATACCCACCATCACACCCTGCGCACCACAAGAGGAGGAAGGAGGAGAAACAACAAACACACAGAGTTTTTACTTAGAACGTTCAAGAGGAGCCGCGGTGATTCACGCGATGTTATTATTCCCGCGCCGGGTACGCAGGACGGTTATTGGGTTCGATCCCGGACCCTGACGATACCTGTTGTATATTTGAGATTCGCGTGTTCTCGCTCTCTCTCTCTCCCCGTGCTGCTCGCGTGGATTTTTCCTCCGGGTTTGACGCCCTCCGCATTTAGAATCAACGCGCGTTTAGATGATTTTGGTGCTGCTCTAAATCCCCACGTGTGACTATGATGATGGTATCAACCTCTTTGATGACCCATCGTCACGTGTAGCCAGGTCGCCTCTGTAAACGAGCTAACAGCTCAGTGGGCTTTACCTGGTTAATGAAATTGTTTTTATTTCTGTTAGTGTATCCATTGGTCCGCAAGGTCTTAACCCTCTACACGCAAGGGCTTAGCCAAAAATACCGAATTGTCATTCAGCGTCGTGACATTCGGTCCTGACAATTATGCATCATCAAGCGACCAGGAGGTGGCAGTACGGTACAACAATTCAAGTGTCCAACCCGCGTGATGTGACCTATCCCCGGGTCGAGAATTACTCCGCATCGAAATTAAATAACGATACGCGCAGAACTCCGTTCCGCGTCGGAACGCACGAATAAGATTTATGTTCTAGTCCATCAGCCGGAACAGGCTTGCCGGACCAAGTCATGAAACTCTGGACCAGGTCTCGACCTTCTGGGTCTCATCAGCAGAGCTATAAGCTCGTTAAACGAATTCCACATTGATCGTGTATTTACAATGCGGGCGCCCCTTCTGAAAGCGAGCCTCGAAACTCCGTGAGACGTTCCCCTATTAACGCTTTTAAATGCCCAATATAATTATGAATACCCTATGTAATTGAATATTACGGACATCATTTGGTGAACTCCCTGAGACGTGTTGCCAAGTACTCCCCGTGCTTTTGAGATGTTGATGACATTTCACTTTTGTAGTTTACAGCACCCGTTAGCGAGGGGCTGAGAGGGGGGCAGTGCAGCAAAAATAGATTTGCTGATCTCTCGGTTCGAAACTAGAGTCCTGTCCCCTTCGCATGCTCGAGTTTTATCATTCCATTTGCCACGTGTGAAATGTATAAACACACACATATATGTGTGTGTGTGCTCAAGACCCTGCATCGTCTGGAGCGCGCGATATGGAAAAGTAGAAACGCGCTTCTGTCTGCAAGTGGTGGTGCCCCTTTGCGCCATAGTCTTCTCGGGACGTGAATAATTCCAATTGGGGGTGTGGAGGGAGTGGAGGGTAGGTGGGTAGAGACAGCTGTGGGGGTCAGGGATAATTTTAGTTCTGGGGGGCGGAGTGGGGATGACGGGGGTTGGGGGAGCGAGCTTGGTGGTAAAAGGTCACTTAAGGGCGGGTGGCTGTCCCTTCTCGAGCTACCAGCCCTTACAAGTCGACACGTGCGTGCGGCAGTGAGGCCACGTGCCAACTCCACCGTTGGTTTCATCTTTTTTTAATGTAAGGTATCAATCTCTCAGCTGGTGTCCTTCTGCCTCGAGGCCAACTGGGTGATTACCCCCCAACAATATCGCTTACAGCCCCTCTCGGACGAGGGGGGGGGGCTATATGACCATACTTCACCACTCTCGGTCAGTTCCGAGTTGACGAAGACGTGGGCTCATGGACGTGGAGCAACAACAATTGATTGCTGCAGCACTGCCCCCCTTTATTGCCCACCGCGTAACCTCGCGGCAGCGTTACGGGCGCCTTGTTGAACTGGGTATCGGCCCCGGAATTGGTGGGAATCGTCAGTGTGGCTCCACATCGGCGCCGGTGCGATCGGTCTCATCGCTAGTTGACGATCACCGGGCGAGCGTGTAATCACGGTACCCCGACACCCGCAACTGCGAGCAGGTTTTCGCCGGTCTTGCCGATCATCGGTGAAAATGTGCACACGCACAGTTCATCCACGTGGCTTCTATTGATATCCCTTGCCGGCAACAGGTGCTCGCTAAAGGCTCTTGCCTCGACAGTACCACGGATTGAAAAGCTAAAACCGGGAGGTCAAGGGAATTGCATCATTATTGGGAGTGAGAAGGGGGGGGCGGAGTTGATGGGTGGGTGACAGAGCGGGTGAGGATGGGGGAGTGCGTTCGGGTTATGGGGGACGAGAGGTGGGAGGGGGGGACTGGTGATTGACAGCTACATATGCAGTTGCCTTCTTACTCCCTTATAAAGGGACGTTGAGAAACGTCGGCTAATTTTGGAATCGCGAGCAGTCGGAGCATGTAAGGCAAGCATTTAAAATCGGCGCTCTCAGTCGGTCTCCTCTGGAGCAGATTGACGATTCACAATGCCATATTATCATCATCATCAACGTCGTCGTCGTCATTATCATTAAATGTGCCTGTTATGCAACACATTATTTACACTTTGGTTGCAAATCAAACCCTTCTGGGAAGTTGGATCATGATTTTGAATTAGTATCAGATTAGAGAGCCCGTTGATATTTTTAACACGAAATTATCATTCGGATGCACTCCCAGAAGGCCGCGTGGATGATTGATTTGAAGAAAAAAACTAAACTTTTATGTGTTACGTGGTGCGACAGAAACCATCAGGAGGCGTGTTGTGTCTGGTTATGTCATTGACATTTAGCCATTTCCTCCACCCCACTTTTATGTGACAATGATGCGACTACTAAAACATCATTTATTTAAGCCAGGAAGAACGACACCGACACAAAATAAACCCCGACTGACTCTCAAGGCAATTTTTCGTTTGCGGAAGGGTCATTCACCATTGCTGATGAATATGATGATGTTACAATAATATGATGATGATGCTACAATAATATGATGTTACGATAATATGATGATAATGCTACAATAATATGATGTTACAATAATATGATGATGTTACAATAATATGATGATGCTACAGTGTTACAATAATCGCATGTCCTATTTAATGCACGTATTTAGGTGTCACGTAGTGTTGATTGATGGGTGATGGGTGGCGTGGAGGGTGGGTGGGGGTGGCAGCTGGGGTGGTGGAGGTTAGATGATGGGAGGGAGTTGGGGGGCTATCGGGTCAGATTGCATTGACGACTGGTGGATGGTGGAGGATGCGGGTGGAGGATGCGGGTGGAGGCTATGGAATTGTTCCGTGGTGGATGGCGGCGCGGTGGAGGTTGGGTTGGTGATGGGGGCATGTGGAATTGATGGAGGGGGGTGGTGAGGGTGGAAGGGGCTGGAGTGGCGGGGAGGGGGTGGTTTGGATAAATGTGTGTGGGTGGCATATGTCGAGAGTGGGGGGGGGGGGTAGGTGGGGATTTACGGGGAGGTTGGTGGCATTGATGGGAGGATGGGGGGGGGGGGCTGCAGTGGGCGGGGGTAGTTACGTTCGACGTGGGTGGCGTTGTGTGTGGAGTGGGCAATTGATAGGGATGATGGAGAATTCAGGGATTCGGTGCGAGAGGCATTGGTGGGGGGGACTGACCTGGTGGCGGGGCCGGCCCACGATGGAGGGGAAGACGGCGCGGGGGGCATCGTCTCCGGCGAACCCGGCCTTGCACAGACCCGAGCCGTTGTCGCACACGAGTGCGGTGGTCTCCTCGTCGTCACACATGGCTGATTTCTGGACAGGTCACGACACCTGCTCGAGAGGGGAGGGGAGGGGGGGGGGGCACACGGGGAGAGGGGCAGGGAGAGAGAGACAATTGAGTGTGTGAGAGACAGAGAGGGTGTGTGTGTGTGTGTGAGTATCGGAGTGAGTGTGTGTGTATTGTTAGTTGGTGTGTGTGTGTGAGTAGCGGAGTGAGTGTGTGTGTGTATTGTTAGTTGGTGTGCGTGTCTGTGTAGTTGGTGTGTGTGTGTCTGAGTATCGGAGTGTGTGTGTGTATTGTTAGTTGGTGTGCGTGTCTGTGTAGTTGGTGTGTGTGAGTATCGGAGTGAGTGAGTGTGTATTGTTAGTTGGTGTGCGTGTCTGTGTAGTTGGTGTGTGTGAGTATCGGAGTGAGTGTGTATTGTTAGTTGGTGTGCGTGTCTGTGTAGTTGGTGTGTGTGTGTGTCTGAGTATCGGAGTGAGTGTGTGTGTATTGTTAGTTGGTGTGTGTGTGTGAGTAGCGGAGTGAGTGTGTGTGTGTATTGTTAGTTGGTGTGCGTGTCTGTGTAGTTGGTGTGTGTGTGAGTACTGTATCGGTGTGTGTGTTATTTGTTGGGGTGTTTAAATATCGGAGTAAGTGTGTGTAAGTTAGAGGATGTACGACAATATTGGAGTGTGAATGAGAGAAACACGGTGTGTGTTTGAGTTTTGGTGTGTGTGTGTGAATTTGAGTATGTGTTCGTGTGAGTATCGGAGTATGTGTGAATATTGGCGTGTGTAAGTTTTATATTCTTGTATGTGTGTGGATCAGCGGAGTGTTCAATTCCCAGCCATAGGTAACGTAAGTGGAAATTGGAATCAGAAACTTATCCTGCTTGATGTGAACGTCGCTGAGTGGGGGCGAGTGGAGGTATTGGGGGGGGGGCACACCCCCCCCCCCTCTTCTACTGTGACGGCTCTAACAGCTGTTCGCCACAGGATTTTTTGTCCAAATAAATAATAAACCCGAGAAAATCCGCGGCACCTTGTTCGATCCACTGCTGGATAAAGGCTTCCTTCTCACGCCGTGCCGTTCGCGCCGGTCGTTTGGTGTGAAGGCGGGTAGCAAAGGATGTGGGATCATAGACGGAACTTACTTGTTTTTTTATTAACAAATATTAGTCTCTCGTTAAAGTTCTGCATGTGCCACGGAGGAGCGGTGGCGCAACGGTCAGCGCGCTGCGCCATGACAGATTATGGATATTTAATGAGTTCGATTTCCGGTCACGGCTAACATCAGTGGCAAGTGAGAGCTGAACTGGTCCTGGGCCTCTCTCCCCCCACTTCCCCAACCGGCAATGTCCAGTGTGGTGAAGTATGGTTAAACAACACCCCCGACTGGCACAGCGTCGGGACGTCTTCATCCAGCAGTTGGTTGACATAATTATTAATCAATCATCTCTATGTTAGTTCAACAACATCAATAATGAAAGCTTTTTGTTGAAGAACATTTTAACAATTTTTTTTTTAAGTTTCATGTTGTAAACTTAATTCACATTCTTCCGTCAAAGTTGCTATTTAATATGACTTATGACGGTATTTCACGGCGGTTCCTCTAAATCACAGACGTATCTCAGGGAGATTCCCCACCCGGGGTCTACAAAATAACAGAATAATTGAATTAAATCCGATTAAGTGATTGAACGAGTGATTGAATTCAACGACTTATTGACGACGATACGATACTGAATTCACTCACGGGTGCGGGGTCAAGGGACCCGGTTCTCATTGAATAATTCCCCGCGTTCGCTGCACGCTATGGACCTCTGGAGTAGGCACGTGACAGCAAAGTGGCCACGAGCCATAGCGGAAGGTATCCTCTCCTACTGGATGTGGTGTGCCGGGTACAACACGATTTTTTTGTTGTTGTCTCGGGCCACCGTCCCGGATAGAGCCGGCTGAAATGAATCCGCGAGGGATAATTGAAGACGGGACGCTAAAAATAATGTTGCCAACTCCTAATAGGGCTTCACCAGCTTCGTGCAGGTCTCCAGAGAGCCATTAGAGAGAGAGATATATCAGATCCGTTTTTGGAACAGTGCTACCGGTTCTACGTTGCATTTTTATATCATTAAACATTTTCCATGTATTTCCCCTCTTAAGAGAGTGGTGGTACAGCGGCTAGCGCGCATTGTGTTACGAATCTGAAAAGCGAATTTGATTCGCTGCCACGGCCACCATTCTGAGTGGCATCTGAAGCCCTTCCTGCATCTTCGCCTCCACCACTGCTGTCACCAACCCACACTGACCGGAGTGGTGAAGTATGGTCAAACAAATCCTCATGACATACACGGCATGGGAGGCCTTCATCCAGCAGTGGATCGAGGAAGGGTTTTGTGAACTTAACTAAAGTTATTTAAATGTTCAAATTACAGCGTCTTCATTATTGTAGAGGTAGTACATTATACTGTGCCACTTTATTTAATCATATTCGCATAATCGAATTCGTCATTTAAATCATAGATCACAGATTTAGATTCAAGTACAGTAGCTGTGTTTAGCGAAAACAACCAATTAAACAATTCGTGTAAATGCTGGTTGCTGTAAATCACTTTACTGCATAAAATCACAACTTATCGCGATCGAATTTTTACGTTTTGTTATACGTGCCATTACAACATTTGTAATTTTGAAATGACCACCTTCATTGCAATTATCATCATAAATCGCACCAGTAGCATCGGCGTCATCTATCGCTGCCACATTGCTGATGCCACAATTTAATTACTGCCGGCATAACTATTGTGAATCAACTGAAGCTTTTATGACTGCAACTATCCATGTCATTCTAACACATTTCACAAACAATAACCCATTGAATCAATCAATGTTCGTGCCATGTATTTAATCACCGTGGAATGGTTACAATCAGACGTGCATGGGGTGTGAGGCTCATTGAGATGTGGTGGCATTTAAGCGAGAGCCATTATGCATGCAATTCCTTATCCCTGTCACCCAATAGGACACATTGCTACGTGTTAACCGTCGATGCAGTGGTACCGGGTGTGTGCACGTGTGTTATTGCACGTGTGTGTGTGTGATGTGCATATAGGTGTGTGTGTGATGGGTGGATGTGTGTTTGCGTGTGTGTGAGTGGGATGTGTGCAGACACACACGCGTGTGTGTGTGTGATTTCACTCACCGAGTGGCTGATTGCAAAATGTGGGGCCTTGATGGACCGCGCGGGCAGTAGTGACCGGTTGACCGCCGGGGTCCAGGTTTTATAGGGAGCCAACGCGGTGGGCGAAGGGAGCAAGATACCACCCTGTCAGCCCAACCCTCTCCAAACCCACCCACCCACACACCCACCCACCCACCCACACACCCACCCAGCTGCCTCCACCTGCCCCCCCCCACCTCGTTCCCAAACCCAGCTGTATCTTCCCACACCCCCTCGCTCCAACTACCAACTCTCCGCCCCCATCTCGGGGCCACAAGCCCCCACGACCACCGTGCCAACAACCATGGACCTCTTGATGTTCCATTCTTTTTGACTTCGTGTGATGGGAAAAGCCGATCAATGGGACGTCTGGTTAGGCACGCAACTGGCACCAACCCATTATCCAGATGGACGGAATCGTGGGGCGCATGAAACGTCAAGAACCAACGCCTCACCGTCACTGGCCCAACAGCAGAGGTCCCCTTGCTTGTTCTATGTATGTATGTAGAACTTCTTTTGCATCGTACGTGGCCAACCGTGCTAATCGGAGTTGCGGGGGAAGGACAACTAAACATACAAAAGCAGTTCTAGATAAATGAGTTTGTCAATCTAGATGATTTAAAAGCGCATAGCTCCCGTGGCTTCCTAAGATCGGAAGCAAGAGCGTTCCAGACGGCCGCAGAAGCGCATCTGAAAGTGCAGCGCGATGCGGTGACCGCCTTTGACGGTTGAATGGACAGCACTTAACCGAATTCTTACAGGACACGGGGCGATGTGGCCATACGTTCTAGGACATGGAACGTATCGTATGACCTTGCTGACCTCATCAAGGAGCATAAACCAGCATGGTTAACCAGTCTCCCGCGCACGAGCTTATTTCATCGCTCCATCTGTGTGGTACGGAGGTCTTCCACGCAGAACCCAATTAAATGGAATATCCACTCAATGGCTTCGCTGAGATGCTAAGCAGAGACATTAAGATCTGAGTGTGCAGGTTGTATGTATGTTTAACTTCTTTCACACCGTGCGTAGCCAGCCATGCTACTGGGAAGGGTTCAGAGGAAGGACAACAAACTAAGCACAAAAAGCAGTTCTAAAGAAATTCGTTTTCAATCTAGATGATTTAAAAATGCATAACTCCCGTGGCTTCCTAATCAAGTGAATGAACCAAATGCAACCGATCGACTCTTGCATCCTTGGGCAATCCGTCTCAGCCGAGTGACGGTTCTCTTCCACCAGTGTCTTATCCGCGGGTCCGAGGATGGCCGATGGGGCTGATCATGAAATCAACAGCCATCTGTAGTCGCAGCTCGGCCGCCGCGTCTCTCCGAGGTGGCCCGGTGGATCGTTGATTCTGACACTGCGAACACGCTGCTGTTTCTACAGTACCACTTCCCTGCCTTTCCTCCTCCCGTTGCAGGGTTTTCCCAGCGCTGAGATCCTTGCCGCAGACTTCTTCCTCCGCCTGGGATGATCCTGCGCAAGAGTCCTCTCCCCCCGCGAGTTGGCATCGACGATGTCCTCCTTCGCGTTGTTCCACGAGGAGGACCTCCTTGAAGCGATTCGTCAAGCATGAGGACACCTCGACTCGTTAAATGCTAATGAAAGAGTCCCTGTAATGAATAGGTGAATGGTTGATGATGATGATGATGATCATGAAATGTCCATTATAAGAGCTTGTAAAAGCCATAAGTTCAGAAGTTTATTGCCCGAGTAAAGCCCATTCATTCATTGAGCTACACGCGGCTTTCTTAAGGGTAACTAGGCCAACAGACAACAGTGGTAGCAAAGGTTTACCAATTGCAAATGTTTCAATAAAAAAAGGAAATCATAACAATATTATCTTACACACAATTATGTTGTGCATTCACACTTGAAGGGAGTACACAGATGGCATCGTGGATATCCCAAAAGAAGAAAAAGACAGCAGACGGCAGAGCCATCTCCCAAGCGTGCACGGCGAATCGGGGTGACCACCCCGGGCCCCGCACTATGGGGGGCCCCGCGTTTCGACGTCACGGTGTCCGATCTAATACTTCCGGTTTAGTTTGAAGGCGTTGGGGGCCCACACAGTGGGGCGCCTCACCCCAATATGGGGCGCTGCGATGGCGCGATGTTAACTTCCTCGCCTCGTATACAGGAGGTCGTGGGTTCGATCCCGATCCTTATTCTTTATATTTGGAGTTTTCACGTTCTCCCCGTGATCGCGTGGATTTTTTTTCCGGGTACTCCGATGTTTTCCTTCCATCAACATGCGTCTCGAGTATTTGGCTGCGAGACATTTCCGCGTGGAAACGTCACTTGGTTGACCTTTCATTTGTGGCCAGGTCGCTTCTGAAAAGGGAGCTGTATAGCTGAGTGGGCCTTGGCTGAGAATAAAAGTTGTAATCAAATTGTTTACATCAGGTACTCCTGCCAGATAGTCTCAAAACTTTGGAACAGCCCCAGTTGATTTAAAACGCCCATTGAACCGACGCGCTCAATGTGACCAATTCATCCGGGATGTGGTCACAAAAGCTAAGCGGGATTGAGCCCGTGCAGTGCTTGAATGGGTAACCGCCGCCGTGCGCATTTGTAGGTGCTGTAGGCAGTAGATGCCAGAGCAACAAGATGATACGTGGTTCATGTACCTGCCACACTTCCATCATCAACCCGCGGTGACTAGCGTGGTGAAGTATGGTCAGATAAACCCACACGACCTAAACGGAATGAGGTGGCCCTCGTCCAGCGGTGGATTGGCAAACGGAATTTATATTATGAATATAGATGATCAAGAGCCCACTGGGGACCGTCTTTCTTTCAACAGAGACCTGAGTTAAAGCATAAAGAGCAAAGGGCTGACTTAAAATAACCGTGCCGAACAATAGAACGCGGCGCAAAAGCAACACATTTATATTTACAATAATGAGATTGAAGCTACAATCTGCGGCCCATTGTGACTCCGTTGAACCATTATACAACTGTGCTGTGTGATGGTGATGGTGGTGGTAGTCAGCAGAGGGCTGATCAGCAAACACAAATCCATTGCAGTTGAAAAATGCCATTGTTGTACTGCACTTATATGGGACCAGCATCTGTGCTCAACTGCCTTCATCATCGATGTTTTTAGACTCGTGTGTGTCGTAGTGGGGCTCGCGAAAGACTTCTTAGCGATGCTGTAATTCACATTCGTTTAATAAAACAAAATAATCGATTCTTGAAATGTGATCCTGAACTGTCACAGTTACATATCTGGAAGAATTAATAGTTCCATAGTGATAAAATAACGATAATCGTGATAGCTATGACAGCCGAGATTTACCCAGACAGATCAAATCTTAGATAAAGAGACCATAGACCAAAGAGCTTTGTAAAAACAAATACTAGTAGCCGGTTACATTTATTTATTGTTTTAAATTATGAATTTTTCACTCAATGATTATGTTTGTGAATCATACGCCCACGTTCAGTGGGTGCTACGCGCTCTCGCACGATTGGCAACGACAAATTTCAGAACGAAAAACTCAAAAGTGCGCACAAAAGCGTTGAAGAGAAGTACGGCTTGGAATTACACTGCGAGACGGAACGGGGGACCGCCTGGATCAGAGAACATGTCCTGGTGAATGGCATCGTTTTGCTATGAAACAAAAAAAAATAGTGGGGTATGGACAGGGCACGTCACGGCCAGAAGGGTCCGTGGGACGATGATAAAGAAGAATAGCGGAGTGGCAACTGAAGATTGGAACGCGTCCGAGAGAACGTCCACTGAACAACAACGAAAGTCGTTCACGCGCAGCGTCACAAAAGGTGGCACCGGCTTTGAGGAGGCCATCCATGCAGCAGTGGATCGATCGTGGGTGATGAGTGATGCTGAATTCGTAACGGCCTTCAGCCACTCTCACCCCTTTAGCGTCGCACTCCATGCGAGGCGAGTTACTTGGTTCGCTAGTTAATGGGAATCGTGATTATTTGTGAGTGTTTGAGAACGAGACTCGAAGCCATGGAGAACGTTCTGCTGACTCTTCCCCGTGAGTCAAACCAATCAGCCTCCGTACTCAATAATAATAATTTACATTTGAAAGGCGCATTTCATCCCTATGCGCCGTGTATTGAAAGCAGAAAATAAACAGAACCAGGGTAAGCGTTCAATTTAATTAATGGCAGGGCCCAAATTTCTAAATATAAATAATTGCATTTTCGTTCAGCTATGATAAGCATATACCCAACTATATTCTAGTGTTTCCAGCCCACCTCGAACATCATTCGAGTTACATCGACCACTCGTTAAGTTCTACATTTATTAGACGTATCAACGTAAAGTTAGTAGCACTGCTGTGTTACGTATAGTAACTGGATAATTGACAGAATGAGAGATAATTGTATTGGTTATGTTCAATAAATGACTTTAAACCTAATTTCCTGCATCGTACACAGGGCTTAAGATCTCGCTGAATATATTCTGGATAGTTGGTAGACTACAGAAGGCATGTGACTAATAGCCACATCCATAGCGCAGTGTATACTTGATGTGGTGTGCCGGGTGCGGAAATATTATCCGGTCGCGGACTCGGATCGACTCGGCTGAAATTGATCCCTGTTCATAATACGGCGCAGTTGACCAAACGTACGGGCAAAATATTCCCCATTTTAGCCGAGTAGACCTCTGGGGGAGGCCGCTGTTAGCGAGCACCTATTAAGGCCAGCAGCAGCCGCACACACACACACAGAGGTGCGCAAAGGGGAGATGGAGGAGGGTAAAAAGCACAGGGCTGGGAAAGTCGGGGTCGGAGGAGAGGACCGGGGGGTTGAGAATGTGGACAGTCCATGCTGGTGGCCCTACACACTCTCTCTATCTCGTCTTCTTCGCCTCCCTTCCTCTCCCTCCCTCCACTCCCCCCCTCTCTCTCTCTCTCTTGGCCGGCACAGACACTCCGGCCTGCCCAAATTTGGCAGGAGGCATTGCGTTCACAGAGGAACCATTCATGGGCAGACGGGCACTCACCAACGCACAGATCACGGCCCATGTTTGGACACACCTCTGCCCTCCTCCTACCCCCTCTCTCTCTCACACACACACAGACACGTGCTTTCTCACATTCACATACGCACACACGACGGGCTATATCTCTGCACACTATTCT